AAAAATATGTAAAGAAAATTGAATACTTTTGGCATTGTTACACAGCTGTTGATTATCATGTCCTTAAATATTAGTCTTTGCTTGAAAGGAAACCTTTGGGCGAGCTTAGCGACCAAAAATATCAATTTCATAGAAAATTCAAAAAGTAATAAAATTTACATGATATACTTTATCAATTTAGTCAGATGCAAATTATCATCATGTTTATTAACAACACAATTATCATTCAGCGGTTTACAGAAAAAAACGTTTAAATGCGCAACGACGATCGAATTGTTGTCCTGTGTAGGTGGGGGTGTCTTGTGCCGTCTCATTTTGTGTAATATTATACTTATAAAGAGTTAGTTTCTGGGAAACACAGTTTTTGCTAACGTACAAGGATTGGTTCTTGACTGGTTTGTATACATAAAAACGTCCTCTACCATTTCGGTAACATTCCTGATTAAACCGGAACTCCTCTGGGTCATTGCCGTCTTCGTCACATTGATGCTTCTGTAAACAAAATTATTATGTAAAACAGTAATAACGTGAATGATCTAATAACTTTCGGAGCCCACGAGGAGGCGTTTATTCTCATAACTGTTAGTAGCAAATTCCACGAAACTAAAATGCATCCGGCGAATATACTTGAACACAGTGTATAAATACCAGAGCATTGATACGTCTTGGCCGTTTAGATCAATTTGTTTTTTTAAACCTCTTTACTAACTTTACTTACAGTCAAAGCAGGTCAAGTGTACCCCTAAAATTCTATTATGAATTGATTCAGTTTGAATCCGTTTAAAGTCGTTCCCGTAACTATTGTCAAATTCAAATCAGCATTACTGCATGCGTAATGAGCAGTGAAATATTTTAGACATTTTACGGGAACTTCTCTGTATTTGGTCAAATTGAAATTCTTTGAATGGACGAAATTTCTTGGAAGACATTTACATCAATTTCAGGGAAAATGAGCCGGTAGAAAATTCCTAACTGCCTCGCGTAAGTGTCGCGTGTGAATACAAGGCTCATTACGCACGCAAGAATATAGAGATGAATGTGAAATCTACAACTACCAACGGATTCAACTTTCGAATAATAAATTCATTAATCGAGTCTTGAGGGGTACGCTTGACTTGGCTTGACTGTAACCTTTTCTTCAGGGGCACCCAACGACTGTTTTCTGTAAAATATCTGTTTGGAGAAGCAAATATTGCCAACAATTTTCTATTACTTGAGGACGGCACTCACTTTTTACATTGACTTAGCTAGACCTTTTCTTGTATTATTGTTGATTTTAAGAACTATTAGAACTATTGCACTGTCTCAGTTTTAAATTATGTCAGCATGATCTCACCAGTGTTTATTTAGCGATTGCAGAATACCCGGCCCACTAAATGTCTTACTTGTAAAACTCCTCCCGCAGTCCCGCAGTCGTGTTATGCCGAATACTTAAATCTAAGTGAGTAAAACAAGTGCTCCTGCGACAGTCCAGCAATCCCACAGTCGCTAAAAAGAAAATAGTAAGTGGGTATACAACTAGTGCTCCTGCAGTCCCGTACTCACGCAAATGATTTCAAGTAGCTAGTATGCTTATAGAACGAGGTATACCAGACAGTGCTCCCGCAGTCCAGCACTCCTGTGCGCGGTCGCTAACTAGTGCTCCCACAGTCCCGTATATTCCCGCAGTCGATTTCAACTAACCAGTGTGCTTATAGAACAAGGTATACTAGTTCTCCCGCACTTGCGCACGCCCACAGTCGATGTCAGAATTTCTTTTGCAAATCGGACGACTGGGGGGCTGCGGGAGCAGTTTTTTTAAGTCAGATATTTAGTGGGCCGGGTATTCTGCAATCTAGCCGTTTTTTTAAGACTCCGGTTGGCAGTCTATTCAGGTTTCGAACCCGCCACCTCTCGCTCAGCAGTTCGGTACGCTACCAACTCAGCCAACCATTCACAAAACCTCGCACCGTTGAGTAAATACCCTGGTCTCAAAGCGGTTTCCATTATGCAAAACCTTCTGGAAATCTTGGTCTAAATATAAATGGAACGCTGCAACGAAGGTGGAAATGTTCTGGAAAAAAGTAGGTCATCTTTGACTAGTCGGCCCGGTTCGACTGAAACTTGCCATTCATTTTTCAAACATTCTCGCGTCCAGTCCTACATGACTGATCCAGAAGTAATCAAAGTTTCAGTCAAAACGTTTAGTAATGGAACGCCGCGGTTAGGTTGGAATTTTGTTTCTATCCAGCAATGTGTTTCTATTTTCTCTTGATTTACTTCCAGTGGTCTCTGACATGTTTGTCTGGTCTAAGGGAAAGACCACACTTAAAGGCTCTGTGCTCGTGAAATACACCCACAATATATGCAATATATTATAAATGGTTCTAATAATACTAGAGCTAAGTTAAGTAGAACCCTCAATTCATTAAGCGGCCAACAGTTAAGCGGCCCCCCTCTATTAAGCGTCCAGTAATCAAAGTAGCCGGCTAAATAATTGTGGAAAAGTATTGTCAAAACCTCTATTAATTTTTTAAGCGGCCTCGGAACTCCATCAAAAGGCCGCGGGCACCTTTTGACCATTCCCCATCACCTCTATCAAGCGGCAGTATAAATTACGCTCCCTTTGCGTCTTTGTTTACAGGCAGCCCAAGCTCACCTGAATTCCGATACAAATCCTTTATAATCACGGCCATTTTGAGGATTACGCAATATGATAACACACGCTGACTAAACTCTCATACTGAGCTTGGGCTGCCTGTGGTTTGTCTGAAAATAAAGTGATGTTTCTGCCAACCTCTATTAAGCGGCCACTTACTTGTATTCCGGCAAAGGTTGCCGCCTAATTGAGGTTCAACTGTACGTGAATACCCTGCATATGATTGTAATGTCAACTCACCTCAAAAACTACTCTGCCCACCCCTGTTCTATATTCCACCTTTAGCGCATACCTTTCACCAGAGCCTGGATGGGTAAACTGAATACACTTCGTACCATTAACACTATCTAAAATGGTATGCTTTGTATCGTTACCTGTAGAAAGTAATGGTAAAATTAATAAGACGATTAAAAACATCTGCGCGGATAGTAAGATTGTAACCAAAATGTAACTAAAATATTGGGAAAAAAAAACAGTCTAAAGCGGTCTTGATAGTAAACTGTTAGAAATCACAAAACTGAATGTATATTTTTGGATACTTGAGTGATCTGTTGTTACAATATATAATTAGGCTGCACATTTAACATCAACGTTTTCTGTGATGATCAGTCGAAGATCGCGAGATCGCAAGGCTGAATGAGAACTGATCGCTGAGCGATTAGGGCACAGACAGGCATTACTTCAATGTAGTTACACTTTTGGCCACTTTTCATAAATTGTTGTTTCAACCACAAGCTTTTTCATTTAGCCTGAGTGAAAAATTTTGTCTTCATTTATTGACGAAGTTTGTACAAAGCTGGACTTTGAACAGTTGTTTTTGTCCCGATAGGACTGGAGACCAGTGACAGAAGAAAGCCAGCTAAATGCTTGAGCCCGCGCAGAGAAGCAAATAAAATTATTTATGTTTTGTTCCTTTGCTTTCTTGTTTTGCCATGTAATAAACATCTTATTAACCGAGCGGAGGTCTGTATGGGAGAATCTTGACCGACGTCGCCAGTACCAGCGACCAACCGAGCTAAGTAATAACACCAAAGAAAATTTCTCATGGGAGTCCGAGGAAATAAATGTCAAATTTCACAAGAATTGTGAAAACACAGTTAAAATTCTGAAAATTTGTGTAAGTTGTAATTTTGTGTAATTTGACATTCATTTTCTCGGACTCCCATAAGAAATTTTCTTTGGTGTTATTACAGATGATTAATTACATCTTTAGCCCTTGAAAAATGTAAAAACGAATGCAGCATTCTTTAGCCCTTGAAAAATGTCAAAAAGAATGACTGAGATCGTGACAACATGCCGAGAGCGACGAATTGGCCCACAAATCTTAAAACCGATTTGACCAATGGCAGACCGGCAACCGGAAAGCGCTCTCGCGATCTCATTTGCCTCAGTGTTTCCCTGCCAACTCCACGCCCATTTTGGTTTGAGTACAGACGTTTTATATTTCCTTTGCGAAACCACAGAGTAAACGGGAACGTCCGCCACAAGGCTACGTTATAATTTACTTAACATATCAGGCTACCAGCACGATTGTATTATGGCTGATACATTTTTTTTTATCTACAAAAATGATTATGCTATCCTTAGGTTTATCACAAGCAATCGGCCTTCAAGTTTCCTCAATGCTACATCAACCTCTAATCTCATGCCGTACCAATTTTAAACATATACTACACAGCTAAAGCGTAAAATGCCTTACCAAAACATCTAAAACAACTTTAATATCATTCATAATTTCAAAAATCAAGTACGTGAGTCGCTCTTTAAGATCTAAAGACCAAACACGCCCTGGGAATGCCGAAGGAGTAGGACGCTATTTTTAGTGTTCCGCCAAGAATTATATCATTGATGACTTTTAGCAATGCCGCTCAAACGAAATATAGGCCAAAATCGTGGTCGTCGAATGCTTCTTCCCCTGAAGACAAGAAAACACGAGAAAAGAATCATACTGTGCGTTAGAAAGCGAGAGCGAAGACGACATTTGAAAGCGCTGAGTATGGCCGAAAATTTAGGATCTAAAGTCGACCTAATTTTGAACAAATTAAACAAGTTGGATAGTATCGAACTGCGTCTAGAGAATCTGAACAAGTCAGTGGCCTATATAGAAGAGTGCTTCGCAATTATTGAAGAAAGATGGGGAAGCCTTAAAGGAGAAGACAAAGAAGACCAGTCAAAAGGTAAATGACCACGAGCAGAGCGTTGATTACAACGACCAAGATATTAGTGACCTACAGCGAGATGTGAAAGGTTTGCGACATGATGTGGACAATCTTAAGATGCAACTTCTTTCAGTACCAAGAGCACTAGAGCAGAAGAGAGAACTTAATGTTTATTGGAATTCAAGGAGAGGTCAGTACACGAGATGACGAAGAAAATAGTACAGTCAGTAGTCAAAACACGGAGAACACGAAAGAGATCATCTACAATTTTATGGAACAAGAGCTACAAATCCAAAACGCTCGGAACAATTGAATTCCAACGCGTTCACCGGGTAGGGAAAGAGAGAGGTAAGAAATCGTGACCCATCATCGCAAAGTTCCTAGTTACTGCGACTGCGAAGAAATCCTATTTAAGGGGAGGAAGTTGTTAAAAGACAAGACTTACAGTGTTTTCGAAGACATGCCAAAAGAATTAAGAAAAGCACAACTCAAAAAACTACAGAATGCGAAAGAGAGAGGTGACACAGCGTACTTTAGTAAAAAATATCCAGATAAGCTTTTCATAAACGGTAAATATATCCCGTTAAAATAACTTTCACTTTCCCTAATATGCCAATATGCTAAATTACGATAACTTATCGTAACTTCTTTTTCTCTCTTTTTCTCTCACCACCTATTTAATTATGTAATTAGCAGAAACACATCCGTTAACTGGTAAATAAGAAAGCGAAGCTAAAGCCAAAACAGTTGTATTCAGTACTCAGATAAATGGAGGTTGCCCTAATAGATAATTGATCCAAAACGGGAAAAGAGTCGGCAGTCTTTAATCACACATTCCTGGAGGAGGATTATGTCTTTGCATCTGTATTTTGTAATTATATACGTTGGCTTATGTTTGTCTTGAGTCAATGCCTATTTGTAGTTAATATACCATAATATGCTTTATACGTAAGAGTTCACGTCCTTTCTTAATTAATAGCATCAGAAGTATACAACGCTGGGTTGTCCTTCGTTCCTTCTGCACTCAAGCACTACACATTTACGGTTAAAACTTCGCTTTAACCGTTAATTTGATGAGTTTGTTTAAACGTAAGGGGTATTAGCAACTTTACCAAACGACGTACAATTTATACATGGTGCCGTAAACAGAAGACTGATGTTGTATTTTTGCAAGAAACGCATTCAAAGAAGGAGACAGAGGTGCAGTGGAAAAATGAATGGGGTGGCGAAATACTTTTCTCATATGGAAGCCCTAATTCATGTAGTACAGCAAAATTGATCAGAAACAATACCAATTATTCAGTTCTATCGACAACTCGTTTTGGGTCGTTTTATTATACTAAAAATCCAAATCGATGACAAAGTATATGTTCTTGTAAATATCTATGCACCGAACAAAGGTAAGGATCTAATTTAGTTTTATTATAGAAAATTACATAGAAAAACATATTATGGGGTGATTTCAATTGTCCTTAAAATCCTAGGTCTTGATAAACACGGTGGTGTCATATGATTCCAAGAAGAGCAGCAATTAATAGCCTTGAAACTTTACAAAGCGAACTGGACTTAGTTGATATTTGGAGAATTAAGAACGCTCAAACAAGAAGTTACACGTGGAGTCAAAAATCCCCAACAGTTCTCTGTCGTCTAGATTTTTGGCTTATCTCTAACAATCTCTGTGATTTTATAAACGCTACTGAAATACAGCTTGCAATACGTACAGATCAATCGCAGCAATAACCTTACTTCTAGAAGACATTGGAGAAATAAAAGGTCCTGGTATATGGAAGATGAATGTTTCGATCTTAGAGGATGAAAACTACTTAGAACAGTTAAACAAGAGGGTGAAATTGATCTGTCTGACAAACGATGCGTTTGGGACTGGATCAAATACAATTAGATTGCACGCTATTAGCTACTCCAAAGAAAAAGCCAAACTTAAATATGAGAAAGAGCAGCGAATTCAACAAGAACTTGAAGATGCTAACAGGCTGTTTGAAAATGACCCTAGTGCCTCAAATAGATTGCGTTTAGATAAAATCAAAGAACTTTTATATGAGGAAAAAGTAAAAGGAATCGTCATACGGGCAACAGCACGTTGGCATGAGTATGGTGAAAGGAGTACCAAATACGTTTTAAATTTAGAAAAGAGAAACCATGTTTAAAACACATCCGAAAATTGTTAATAAGTGGTTCAACAACTACAGACCCATATCGGATACTCTCCGAACAAAACCATTTTATGAAAACCTATACAAAACTAATGACTCTGTAGAGGCTTCGGATCCATAGAGGCATTTCGATTCTAAATGGGTTAAATATTCCTAAACTATCGGAATAACAAAGGCAATCGTGTGAAGGACGAATTTCTACGGAGGAATGTAGGACAATTATAGAAACGTTGAAAAACAATAAATCTCCAGGAAATGATGGTCTCTCCACTGAATTTTACAAAAGCTGCTGGGATCTCATTAGTGAACCCTTCATAGATTGCGTCAATGAATCCTTTGATAAAGAAGAAATGTCTAATTCCCAAAGGCAGGCTGTAATCACTTTAATAGCGGAGCTCCACGCGCTGCGCTTCGCGCCGCGCGTGAGCGGAGCCCCATAGCTAAGCGAAATCTACCCATCCCAGAAAATTTGGTAATCACGTGACCGTACGCCGAACGACCGTCCGTCTGCACCACAGGGAAACCAATGTTTACTCTCACACTTACTAGCTAGTTTGGGAGCCCAGGAGAAAACTAATTGCTCATCAATGTTGTGATCAATTGACAGCTGTCAAAACAGGGTATCCGCTGACCAGTATCACATGACCGTACCGCGGGCTCAAGTGTCGACCCATCGAGGTCGAGTATTTTTTGAAGTTATCCGCTGACAAATAACCAGTTTCAGCCAGTTTCAAATGATCGCAGGCTCAAGTTTATTTTTTCCAATGATTCATATGAAATATGTTGTGTTTATGTCATTATGACCTCGCACTTTTTAAGATTTTGATTTCAAACTGACCTCGGACGCGAAAATTGGTCACGAGTTGGTCACGCTTTTTACGTCCAATTTTATGCTCTGATTGGTCAAAATTTGACAGTGAGTTCATGCAGAAAATTTATGCAGCATCTTGAAAGTTGTTTTTTAGACAGCTGAAGGTGACAGAATTTTGTGTCAACTTTGTGATGTTTTTAATTGCCTTTTTCGACTGGATGTACAAAATGAAATACAGCTGCTATCAAGAGTCTTTTGTTATTCATGGCTGGTTTGTTTATTCAGTTTTTGGTTGAGAAATGCGTCGCTTGTCAAAATTCGGTAATCCGATTTCGGATGGCATCGTTTTCGTTTTTCACCTTGCTTAATGCGTAACAGGGTCTAAAAGTCTCAAGCAACTGCGGCTTTCCTTGATAGCTTTCAGGAACTGAATCTCGAATGGTAAGCCTGAGTAATTATTATATTTGATGTTTGTTTTTGTTATATCTAATTTCATGAAGTCGAGCACAGTTTTTGCGGCAAGTTTATGCACGTTTGTAAGATTTGAGTCGATGATCTGACCTAGTGTCAGGTTTGATATAAGCTTACAGAACTTTAAAAGGCCTTCAGATATATTTTCTCAACGCAAACAGAAAGAAAACGTTCCGAAGAATATTTAGTTATAAATATGGCTGTAGAAAGAAAACCTTTGAGCGATTTTCTTGATTCGAGGAGTTCATCTTTGAAAAAAAGCAAACACCGGGAGGCCGGCTTAAAGTAAAACATAATTAACTTAAGCTTAAAGACTCAGGACTTTTTAGAGACACTTTATACCTGTCTTCGTGAATGAAAATTGTTGTCTCTGTAAATGTCTCACCGAATTATATTTCTTTTTATTGATTGTTAGTAGTCTCCCTTGCAATTTTAATCGCTTGTACGTGCCGTTTGTTTTCATCGTTCATGAGCATCGCTTGCAGGAGTACTTAAAAATGTCGTGCGTATCAAACACTTTATAAGATTACACATCGTTATAACTGAAACCATTAAATAACAAAAAATAAAAATAATAAATTCGTTATTATGTTGAAGGTAACTCTATTAAAAGTTCATTCAAACACTCGACCACACTGACAGCTCGCACTAAAATTGAGAACCGGCTGGCCGTATGGGTGATTTTGCAATTTTTTTGAACGGTTTCGCTAAAAGCCCACGATTGATCGTCCTGAATATTGACTAAGGGCAATTTGTCTTGAGAAACTGTGAAATGCCGCATTCTGTCCGAGGTCTGTATGATAAATAGTACTGTTTCACCTCAGATGTGATGTATAAAAGAGTATAAAAGGTTGGTTTACACAACCCCAGATTTCACTGGCAAGAATTTGTAAAGTAAAACCTATCGAACACCAAAAAATTGGCCTGATTTGTTTTCCAAGAATTTGTTTTCGAGGCCTAAACTACTGTGATCAAGAGCCATTATGGCTCTTGAATATGATCGAAGCTGTTGCTATTTTTGGGGTACATATAAGGCTATCAACTCGATGTAAGAAATAACTTTAGCCTTTCCTCAAAAGTCACATGAATGTGCCCTTAACTTAACTGATTTGTGGATCACAAGTTTATTGTTTGATTTAAAATTATAAATTTATTAATGGGAGCTTCGCTTTTAGCCCTGGCTAAATCTATATATTAATATATAATCTATATATTAGAAAAGAAAGGCAAAGATCGTATAGAAAATTGGAGGCCCATATCACTTGTCAATGCTGAGGCTAAGATAATATCAAAAGTGATTGCCAAGAGAATTAAAAGATGTACTTCCTTCTAAAATACACCATAATCAAACTGGTTAATATGTTAAAAAACGCTACATTGGTGAAACGGTTTAGTCGACCTTTGATATCATAGATTTAACAGATAAGGAAAAATATGCCTGGTCTGTTGATATTTATTGATTTTGAAAAGCGTTTGATTCTTTAGAATGGAACATCCTGTATAATTGTCTATATGTCTTTAATTTTGGTCCAAATTTTAAACCTGGATCAAAACTTTTTACGCAATATTAAAAGTTGTGAGGTGAATAATGGGTTGTGTTCAGACTATTTTGAACTCACACGTGGCGTCAGGCAGGGCAACCCCTTTCCCGTATCTTTTTCTTTTGGCCGTGGAAACCTTTGTTAGCGATTGCCATTATTAGAGCTAACGAAGAAATAAAAGGAATAGTAATAAATCAAGAAGAGACCAAACTTCTTCAATACGCTGATGACACTACTGCTGTACTCGCTGATCTAGTGTCAGCTCAAAAAACACCTATGACCATAAGTTGTCTCACTCAAAGAATTTCTCAGAGAAAAATCGTCGACATTAAAAACCAGTCAATATTTGCTCCTCAAGGGGCTTTCTGTCTACGGAAAGGTTACTCTAATCAAATCACTTATTATACCAAAGATCGTTTACACCTCCTCTTTGTTACCTACTCCGGAACACATTGTCAAGGATTTAAATCACATATTATATACGTTTTATGGAAAGGTAAAGATAAAGTAACAAGAGCGTCAACAATAAATAATTATGAAGAAGGAGGCATCAAAATGGTGGATATTGAAAGTTTGATAAAATCTCTCCGTCTTTCCGGCTTAAACGAATATTTAGTGACAACTCAGGCGTGGAAAAACTACCCAGAAAACATCTTGAAAGATTCTTGAGGTCTAATGCTTTTTAAATGCAATTATAATGTTAAGGATCTTCAAATTACTTCTACCTTTTATTTAGAACTACTTAAATGGTGGTCGGCACTCCGACTGGAGAAGATAATGCTCTTAATAAGGCATTGGCATTATGTAATTTGGAATAATCGAGACTTAAGAAAAGACAACAAGTCCTTTTCTACAAAAATATTACGACATCGGTATCTGCGAAATAGAGACTTACTTTTTGATCTCAGCAATACGGAATCCTACGAACAGATCGCAGAAAATGTTAAAAGGCAAACTTCCTTGAATGGACTATTATGAGACATTCAATACCAACCAACTAAAAAGTTCTTAATCGCTCGGATTCGAGTGCCTTTAATGCAATACCTTCCTTTAAAATCAATGACTATGTTTTCGACATAGCAAAAAAGAAATCAAAAAGATTATTATCCTTTTTGATCAAAAAAGAAGGCTTGTCTCCCAAATTATGCACAAAACTGAAGTTTGATTTTAATCTTTCTAATGACGATCTCAGAAAGGCATTTCTCTTGCCCCATTTTGTCGTGTTTGAACCGTCAAAGCCTTTCAATTTATAGTACTCAATTCTATACTTTTTTACCAACTCAAAGTTGTTCAGGACAGACAACTCGTGCTCTTTTTTGCAAAGGGAATCAGAAACTATAATTAGACATTTCTTTTTGGGACTGCCCTTATTCGAATTCATTCTGGAAATGTGTTGAATCATATTATTTTGGGTTGCGAAAACAACTAGTTCACCTAACATTAAAGGGAATTTGGATCAGCTTTTTAACTTCTGAATACCCTTGCTTAATTATCTTATACTTATAGGAAAATATATTTATGGAGTTGCAGACGGAATGATCCCCCAACCATAAACAGTTTTATAGTTAGAGGAACAGTAAATATGAAATAGAAAAATATATTTGCACTAAGAATAAGAGTTTACACAAAATTAATGGACAAATGGACTTTTGTAATCTAGTTAATTATCTTCTTTTACTAAAATGATTAGTTTCCTCTTTCTTGAATAGCACTTGTAATATAACAGTAGGCATACCTTGTGTGCGATTGTGAATTGCATGTGTGCTTAGGGTGTGTAGTCCGTTTGTGCCTGTATGCTTTGTGATACTAGTAATAAAATTAATGTAATTGTTGTACTTTGGAATAACAAATGAAAAAAAAAAAATAAATGAGATTTATTTTCTGAAAGAAATAAATGGTTTTTTATCTTAATGTGACTGATCATTATCGTATTTCTCCAGCTACCAGCAAAGGAGGGTTTCCTGTCATCCGGGTGATTTGTCACGAAAGTGTCATTTATGTCACGGGTCATGTAAGTCACAGAAGCGAGGCACAAGGCCTCCTTCCTCGCATTACAAGACAGTCAGAAACATTTTTCCTCCTTCCCTCCCGTTAGCTTTATTTTACCCCAGCGAGTGGCG